ACAATCTGAACGAGAGAGAAAGAGAAAACGAAACAGATAGCCAGTCTACTAGACAGTAGAGCTGGAAGGATATTGATTAAATTAGAGAAATTGTGCGTTCAAGTTCACACCTTTTCAACACACACTTGAACCGGTAACCCACAATAGGGGAAGGGTTGCAAGGAGTACTGGAGATTCGTGATCTTCCACGACCTCCCTTTTAAGAATCACTATGATCTGGGCTTATTTATTAATTACTGGAGTAGATTGGATTGAATCAATGAATCAATCATTCGATTCAAAGCAACCTCTTCAACAACACGTTCCAGTATGGAGTCGTTCTTCTGGTGGCTGCCTCAGGACACGATCCTTTCACGATGAAACTAGCAGGGGCTACGTAGCTTGCCATCCCTTCGATATTCTGGTCTACAATAACGTGAAAGAGCTATCTATTTTTCACACTTGGCTTTTGTTTCACACTACAAAACAGCCATACCGAGACACTGGTGATAGAATGGAGCAGCCTGGGCGATTTCCACCAAATCATTCATGGCAAGCAACGCCATCATGTAGAGTGCCTTGGTATCCTCGTCCAAATAAAATAAATGGTCACAGGCTTCCTGGGCTCACCAGCCATGCATGGCTTCTCCAAGACGACGACGAGCTTCCTTTGGTGAGCAGACTTGACAGTGGGAAACACCTGGGCCGTGGGTCGTCCTTGTAAAAGCACTTCTTGTCTGAATCGGATCGGTTCGGTTCATAGATCTGATTTTCAGCAGGATGCTGGTTCCCTCATTTCCACCGTGTCAAGGGTTCCGCGGAGCTGAGCAGTGTGTTGCTGGTGGATTCATTCATTCATTCATTCGATGCTAGCTAGCCAAAGAGAGCAAAGTTCGTTGAATTTGACCTTGCCAAAAGAAGTGTGGAAATTGGCGGCTGTAAGGGGCACCGTTGTGGGCATCGTCTACAAGATTTCAAGGGGGGCGTTTTGTGGTTGTTGCGCCATTGTACAGGTAGGTGTCGGCAACAGGGAAGGGCTTGTTGATGTAGCTACGGTAGCAGTACTGTAGTTTCGAGCGTGACAACGGTATCATTGTAGTCGCTGGGGAGTATACAAGTTGTCATAATTGCCATTGTCGTTCTTGGCGACGGTTGCCGGCTTTTTCACGGTTGGGAAATGGAATATATTGTTGTAGGCGCTAGAAGCGAAGTTGGTTTTCCACGTCGGCAACTAACCACAGGTGGCTCCTTGGACATGATTTTGTTGTTGTCTACGAGACGATTGGAGGGCTTGTACTTTTGCGGCTGAAATGTTCGTAGCCATTGGAGAGAAATTTGTCGCCCTTGTCCGTGACCAAAATGCAATGGGCTCCTCCGAGATGGTGGTTGTCACATTGTTGTTGCAATGCATGGGAATTGGGCTTTCTTGTCGATGGCCAAAGCTGGATGGCTTGTTCTGGTTGTCGGTGTCGCAAGTTTGCCGTCTTTCCACGGTCGGTACCGTAGCTAGTAGCTCTTGTGGAGGAAGTGTGGTTGCTATCTTTGATCTTCAAAGGGGTGGACGAACTCCTCTGCAGTACTGTAGATGGCATTACCGAATACATACATGTAGGTGCCAAGCAAGAGCCGAGGACTAGCGTGGATGCGGTCAAAGCTGTTGTCATTGTGCGCGAGACAGTTAGTTTCTCGTCACCGTATGATAGTCATTGCAGTGGCCTTTGAAGGGCTCTTCCGTAAATTTGATGTTCCAGCTGTAATGGGCATCACTTTGTTGGCAGCGGGAACAGCGGCACGGATCTGGAATCGCTGCACGTCAATTTCGCGGTATTGTGGTGTAGAGAGCAATTTTTCCTTGTTGTTGTTGCTGCTGCAGTCTTGAGCATCAACGATAATCAAGGAACACGACTCTGTCGATTTTATCGCTACGTTGGGAGCAGGCGGCACCTTTCTTGTTACAAGTCGGCGGTGGCCAAAATGGGCTCCTTGGCGACGGTTGTTTGTTGGCTTTCCTTCATTGTCAACCTTGTTGTTGAAGGAGGAGGAGCAGCAGCGCGGCGGTGTCACAGTTCATGTTTTGGCATTATTTGGCATCAAAGCAAATAAATGTGAGGAGACAAGGATCTTACGCTTCATCTTTCCGATTGAAGATTCTTCTTCCACAACCTCCTTAAAGTAAGTAATCATCAGGGTTCGCTAACCTGATATATTAGGTTACCGGTTACTTGCGAAAGAACCGGTAACCGGAACCGGATAGAGTAACCTTTACACTAACCTGGTAAAAAATTTCTACCAGGTTAGTAACCGACACACTAACCTAATACAATTTTCTATCCGGTTCGTGTACCGGTTAGTGTCCGGTTACTCTATCCGGTTACCCGTCGCCGTTTCATTCCTCTCTTTGCTCATAAATTCTCCAGGAGAAACCTGATAAGGGAAACCTATGCCGAAATTCGAGCTCTACTAGGTTACTACACCAGGTTAGTGTACCGTACCAGTGTACCGGTTACCGGTTACTTATCCGGTTACCGGGTATTGTATCCGGTTACCGGTTACTCTATCCGGTTACTCGTCGTCACTCACCTGGTTCCTTCCTTGTTTTTTTTCTCTTTAGGTTACCAGTTACCATGGCCAGTACTACTGATAAGGTTGCTACTGATAAGGTTGCTACTGAGGAGATTGTCGATTTCATTTCAGGTGACATCCTCTCTGAAGATGGGCGGGAGGATTTTGTCCAGCTGGAGGCGCAGATGCGTAAAGGGATGGAACATGGCAACGGTGTAACCGACAATGATGTTGCCGACAGTGGTGTGGATGAAGAACAAGAACAAGAACAAGAACAAGCCGTTGCCGTTGCCCGTGGTAATGACGACATGCAAGCTGATGACCTGGATGACGAGTCTGATGGGCAAGAGGGGGATCTCCGCATTGAGTACGCCAAGGCCAAGGGTCTGTTCAAGTTGACGAAGAAGACGAATTCCCGCCGAATCAACGTGAAGAATCCTGCCGCAGTTTGGGAAGTGATGTACCTCATTGTGAGAGAGTTTTCACGGATCATACCAATTGTCCCGAATGGATGCAGCTGATTGAATTCTGTCTCAAGCATGCTGAGCAAATCAAGAAGATGCCGAAATATGGTCTTATGGCTCGGCAAGCTTTCAGTCGTCACCGTCAGCTAACATTTTTTGAGCTGACAGCCGCTGTCAACCAGCAAATCACAGAAACGGACGACCACCACAAAAAGCATTTGAAGAAGGCCGTCCCATTTGTGACTCTGCACCATGATGTTTGGGAGTCAAAGAAGAAGGATGTCCTTGGTGTTTCCATTTCTTTTTACAATCCGGAGAGGCAAGAGCAGTTGTTGATTCCAATTGTTCTTTGTCTGTGTACTGACACGACAGGTATTCCGACTATCAGCACAATCAAGAAGTATCTTGTGACCTTTGGAGTGGAGGAGCGAATGCTCTACAAGGCAGTCAACATCTAAGAAGCGCATAATGGGGTAGCGCGAAAACAGCGAGGTCGGTTACAAAATTGCCAGGTCAGTCGATGGTAAGGTTACCAATCGGTAACTGACCTCGCGCTTATGTATGGTGGGTACAAGAACACCGAGGAATGATCCTTCCCATTTTGTGAGGTCAGCTGTGCAATATTCAAGAACCTCTTATCCTACTAATTGAAGACGATCGACTCAGGCATATACAGATGCAATTGCAGCACAAGTCATTGGCGTAACGGTTACAGAATGTTGAACTAAGTGTTCACTATTCCTCTACCGAATTCCATTCCCCTTTCTATACATGGCTTACAAGTTGATGCACTTTGTGATGCTAATTACAGAAGGGCAGTTGTAGGCTATTCCCCAAGCCCCGGAATCCAAAACAGCTCAGCCATTCCTTCCCAAATGAAAGAGTCCTAGGTTACTAAATCTATAAGTAGGGGTTTCCAAAATGGAGAAAAGCAGTACACAATGTTGGATATGATTGGGGCTAAATTCGTTATGATACTACTAATAACAGAGTAGTGGAGGTAAGCGAACAATGACATAATGTTCGTAGTAAAAGGGGAGAAACAGGTCACTCATATGTAACCAACTGTAACGGTACGGGCATCCATAGGTCCGAGAAAAGGGTCCAAATGATTCCAAAACAGGACGTCTGGGGCAACCAAACAAGGACGCCATAGGTAACAAAGTCGTCTTGGAAGCCCTGCTAAAAGGGGAGAAATGAAATTGAAGAAAGTGGAGGAAGCCACCAAAAGCCTGGGTAGGACCCCACCAAATGATGGGGTCCTAGGTTGCCAAGGGGCAACATCTAAGAAGCACATTTTTAGGTAATTGTTGAATCCTCATGCATGTATGTTCCCTTACTTATCCTCTTGGTTGTGAATCCACAACCAAATTTCTTCCAGATTTGAGCCATTTCTTGTAATCTGGACTGCAGGTCCTCTATTGGTACCTTTAGTGGTTCTAGATTGACAACTTGCCTATCTCTCAATATGGAACTATCACTTTTGGAGTTCGGCCCCTGCTACCCTCATTTCCACAACCAAAGCCTCCAGACTCCTGGAACAGTAGAAGACAGATTCCCAATCTGGGTGAAAGGTCTACCCAAGAGCGCTGTGAGCTGCGCTTTGGCACCAAGTGTGATAGATTGGATGCTGTTGGAGCAGGGAGAAGCCACTAGTTGGAAGGTTGTTCTTTGTCTGTAAGAGTGAGAAGCTATCGATTGGTGAGCTGATAAGCCTTGTTCTGGATGTGGCGCTGCTTCTGTTCCACAAGGTTGACCTGGATTTATAAGGAGGGCAGGCTGTTTTGGGAAGTGTCATTTGAGAGTACTGCTTTTCCACAGAAAGGAATCTAAACCACAGCTTATCACGGAACAGCCTGCGCCTGCACCTCATCCTTTCTCCAAAGCAGCTTCAACTCGACTCGGATACTCAGCAACATGCCACAACCAACAACAGGAAGCAACAACATCCCAATGGTGGAAGGAGCGCCGATCCTGCGCTACTGACCTACTGCTACTACTATTACGGGTAATTCTATTATCAAGTGTATTATTGAAGGCAAAGCACTGACATCTCTCCCTCATTGTATTATTATGGTAAACAGGAGGTAACTCCAAGCTTGGCCGACAAGCCCGAGTGGTAGCTATCTATCGGTAGACCCCAGGATTTATTGATTGATCGATCGATCAATCGATCGCAATGAGGTACGCCTATTATCAAGAGTGTATAATTGAAGGTATCACCGTGCTGACTTCTCTCCCTCATGGACTTTCTATGGTACACAGCGAAGAGAATCCGAGTCGGCCCCACGTCAACAGGTGAGTTTGTTTTAATTATTCGAATCGGATCGGCTCCGGATCGCCACCTCATATTTATCTCTATGCAAGCTCACTAAACAGCACGGTCGTCCTCGGTGACAGATTGAAAGCCATCCTCATTCATTTCTATGGACCGTGGGAAGGCAGTCAGTTCTCAGCCACGGACGGCCAAGCTGGAGAACAAGGGTAAGTAGCCGGTTTTCTTCAGTATAAGCCAAGAAAACAAAACTATACTATTTGTTTGTTTTTCTCTGCTCCTGACTGCCGGTGAATTACCATTGGCGAGGTCGAACGAAAGATCGCTCCGGATAACAAGGAGAGCAGGAAGGCTATGCTATGAGGAGGCTGTTAACTAAGCCTATCACCAGCCTGAATGTCGTCGAGTCATTGAAAATGGCAACAGTCGTCAACCTGAGGAGGAGGCTACACGAAAACACACAAGAGAGTGGATCATACTACCGGTACTCGATTCATCTCTCCAGTGTTATTTACTAGTGATTTGGTGGTGATCCCTGTGTCGGTACCCACTTTCCTGTATGCACAGTCTCGACTTGGGTATTCGAGAGATCTGTTGCGCGACTTGGTGTTGGTGCAGTCACATCTTAGCCCACACTCAAGCAAGTAATGAATTAGATAGCAAGTTTATGAATTGGCAACCAAAGAAACCATTAAGAACCTAGCTTTTAGACCTAGACCTTGCTTCCCAATCTGGAACTGAGAGAGGTTCCAATCCACAACCACGTGGAGGTTGCAAAAATGGACCTTGCCTTGCCAAATTGGAACCTAGCACTTGGTTGAGAAGATGTGGTTGGGATGTTCTTCCCAAACTAGACCAGATGTTCCCAATTCAGCAAACTACCTACAATTTGCGCTTTCTTAGATGAACCCAATCATCAATCTCATCAAGATTCTCACTGGACTCTTGGCGCTAGCGCTTCTTCTTGGAGTCATCAGTTCCAGCATCGACACTATCAGTAATCTTGTAGATGTCCTTTCGCACACGAGCAAGGATGCCCCGCTCCACCAATTTAGCATGGTCCTGGTCTCTAGATTCCTTGACAAGATTCTGCAAATCCTTGAAGCGGCAAAGGCCGTTATCACCCCACCCTCCAAAAGCAGAAGATCCAGCCTGGAACTGGAGTACCTCCATTCATAAACTCCCTCCGGAACATCTGCTTTGCTGGAGCAAGGCAACTTCACGTCCAACGTGAAGCCATTGGTAACCTTGAAGTACTCATGCCACTTTACATTGGTAGCGTTGCCTTTATTGTCCACAGCACCTGGGTCCGCTGTGTAACCATTCTCGGAGGCGAGGGCAGCAAATGCTTCCGAATTGGGAGGGAAAGCCTTCAAACCATCAACCCTGGCTTCCGAGATGATGTAGTTCGTGCAAACTGCCTTCCTCCAAAAATTGGATGCACCAACAGCCTGAGCAAAGAGGCAACCCCACATCCATTTAGCAACAAACATGAGTCGCTTATGCTGTGCCTTCGCACCTTCAGTGGCTCCCTCTCCACGTGGCAACAAGATGGCATCCCCCTTGATCACCTTCAGG